CACCCCTACCTGCCACCCACCCCTACCTGCCACACACACCCTTCCTGCCACACACCCCTACCTGCCACACACCCCTACCTGTCACACACCCCTACCTGCCACACACCCCTTCCTGCCACACACCCCTACCTGCCACACCCACTTACCTGCCACACACCCCTACCTGCCACACCCACTTACCTGCCACACACCTCTTTCTGCCTCTCACCCCTACCTGCCACACATCCCTACCTGCCACACACATCTACCTGCCACACACACCTATCTGCCACACACCCCTACCTGACACACACCCTTTCCTGCCTCTTACCCCTGCCTGCCACACACCCTTACCTGCCACACACCCCCTACCTGCCACACACATTTACCTGCCACACACCCCTATCTGCCTCACATCCCTAACTGCCACACACTCCTAAATGTCACACACCTCTAAATGCCACACACCCCTACATGACACACACCCCTACCTGACACACACACCCTACCTGCCACACACCCCTACATGACACACACCCCTACCTGACACACACACCCTACCTGCCACACACCCCTACATGACACACACCCCTACCTGACACACACACCCTACCTGCCTCACCTCCCTACCTGCATCACACCCCTGCCTGCCACACACCCGTACTTGCCTCACACCCCTACCTGCCACACACCCCTACCTGCCACACACCCGTACCTGCCACACATCCCTACCTGCCACACACCCCTATCTGCCTCACACCCCTACCTGCCACACATCCCTACCTGCAACACACCCCTACCTGCCACACACCCCTACCTTCCTCACACCCCTGCCTGCCACACACCCCTACCTGCCTCACACCCCTTCCTTCCCCACACCCCTACCTGCCACTCACCCTTACCTGCCACACACCCCTACCTGCTTCACACCCCTGCCTGCCAAACACCCCTACCTGCCACACCCCCTACCTGAAACACATCCCTACCTGCCACACACCAATACCACACACCCCTACCTGCTTCACACCCCTACCTGCCACACACCGTACCTGCCACACACCCGTACTTGCCATACACCCCTACCTGCCACACACACCTACATGCCACACCCCCCTACCTGCCACACACCCTACCTGTCACACACCCCTATCTGCCACACACCCCTACCTGCCACACACCCGTACTTGCCACACACCCCTTCCTGCCACACACCCATACCTGCCACACACCCCTACCTGCCACACACCCCTACCTGCCACCCACCCTTACCTGCCACACACCCCTACCTGCCACACACCCCTACCTGCCACACACCCCTACCTGCTACAAACCCATACCGGCCACACACCCCTACCTGCCACACACCCCCTACCTACAACACACCCCTACCTGCCACACTCCCCTATTTGCTAAACACTCCTACCTGCCACACACACCTACCTGCCACACACCCCTGCCTGCCACACACCCTTTTTCTGCAACACACCCCTACCTGCCACACACCCTTTTTCTGCAACACACCCCTACCTGCCACACACCCCTACCTGCCACACACCCCTACCTGCCACACACCCTCTACCTGCCACACACCCCTACCTGCCTCACACCCCTACCTGCCACACACCCCTACCTGCCACACACCCCAACCTGCCACACACCCCTACCTGCCACACACCCCTACCTGCCTCTCACCCCCTACCTGCCACACATCACTACCTGCCTCACACCCCTACCTGCCACACACCCCTACCTGCCACACACCCTTACATGCCATTCACCCCTACCTACCACATACCCCTACCTACCACACACCCCTACCTGCCACACACCTCTACCTGCCACCCACCCTTACCTGCCACACACTCGTACTTGCCACACACCCCTACCTACCACACACCCCTACCTGCCACACCCCCCCCTACCTGCCACACACCCCTACCTGCCACACACCCCTTACCTGCCTCACACCCCTACCTGCCTCACAGCCCTGCCTGCCACACACCCGGTCTGTCTCGTACCCGAACTTATACTATGGAACAGTACTAGACAGTAGAGGACCCAGGGAACAGTACGAGACAGTAGAGGACCCAGGGAACAGTACGAGACAGTACAGGCCCCAGGGAACAGTACGAGACAGTAGAGGCCCCAGGGAACAGTACGAGACAGTAGAGGACCCAGGGAACAGTACGAGACAGTACAGGCCCCAGGGAACAGTACGAGACAGTACAGGCCCCAGGGAACAGTACGAGACAGTAGAGGCTCCAGGGAACAGTACGAGACAGTAGAGGACCCAGGGAACAGTACGAGACAGTACAGGCACCAGGGAACAGTACGAGACAGTAGAGGCCCCAGGGAACAGTACGAGACAGTAGAGGACCCAGGGAACAGTACGAGACAGTAGAGGCTCCAGGGAACAGTTCGAGACAGTAGAGGCCCCAGGGAACAGTACGAGACAGTAGAGGCCCCAGGGAACAGTACGAGACAGTAGAGGACCCAGGGAACAGTACGAGACAGTACAGGCCCCAGGGAACAGTACGAGACAGTAGAGGCCCCAGGGAACAGTACGAGACAGTAGAGGACCCAGGGAACAGTACGAGACAGTACAGGCCCCAGGGAACAGTACGAGACAGTAGAGGCCCCTGAACGAAGAAAGAGACAGTTCATGCCCAGGGAGCACCGAGTTTATTAGACAGACACCAAAAGACATTACTGTCTCAATAAGACAGCAAGAAACATCAGCAGCGTCCAGGACAGCAAGAGACAGTACGGCCCCAGGGTACAGCAAGAGACAGTACCGGCCCCAGGGTACAGCAAGAGACAGTACCGGCCCCAGGGTACAGCACGATACAGTACCGGCCCCAGGGTACAGCAAGAGACAGTACCGGCCCCAGGGTACAGCAAGAGACAGTACCGGCCCCAGGGTACAGCAAGAGACAGTACCGGCCCCAGGGTACAGCAAGAGACAGTACCGGCCCCAGGGTACAGCAAGAGACAGTACCGGCCCCAGGGTACAGCAAGAGACAGTACCGGCCCCAGGGTACAGCAAGAGACAGTACCGGCCCCAGGGTACAGCAAGAGACAGTACCGGCCCCAGGGTACAGCAAGAGACAGTACCGGGCCCAGGGTACAGCAAGAGACAGTACCGGCCCCAGGGTACAGCAAGAGACAGTACCGGCCCCAGGGTACAGCAAGAGACAGAACCGGCCCCAGGGTACAGGAAGAGACAGTACCGGCCCCAGGGTACACCAAGAGACAGTACCGGCCCCAGGGTACAGCAAGAGACAGTACCGGCCCCAGGGTACAGCAAGAGACAGTACCGGCCCCAGGGTACAGCAAGAGACAGTACCGGCCCCAGGGTACAGCAAGAGACAGTACCGGCCCCAGGGTACAGCAAGAGACAGTACCGGCCCCAGGGTACAGCAAGAGACAGTACCGGCCCAGGGTACAGCAAGAGACAGTACCGGCCCCAGGGTACAGCAAGAGACAGTACCTGCCCCAGGGTACAGCAAGAGACAGTACCGGCCCCAGGGTACAGCAAGAGACAGTACCGGCCCCAGGGTACAGCAAGAGACAGTACCGGCCCCAGGGTACAGCAAGAGACAGTACCGGCCCCAGGGTACAGCAAGAGACAGTACCGGCCCCAGGGTACAGCAAGAGACAGTATCGGCCCCAGGGTACAGCAAGAGACAGTACCGGCCCCAGGGTACAGCAAGAGACAGTACCGGCCCCAGGGTACAGCAAGAGACAGTACCGGGCCCAGGGTACAGCAAGAGACAGTACCGGCCCCAGGGTACAGCAAGAGACAGTACCGGCCCCAGGGTACAGGAAGAGACAGAACCGGCCCCAGGGTACAGGAAGAGACAGTACCGGCCCCAGGGTACACCAAGAGACAGTACCGGCCCCAGGGTACAGCAAGAGACAGTACCGGCCCCAGGGTACACCAAGAGACAGTACCGGCCCCAGGGTACACCAAGAGACAGTACCGGCCCCAGGGTACAGCAAGAGACAGTACCGGCCCCAGGGTACACCAAGAGACAGTACAGCCCCAGGGTACAGCAAGAGACAGTACCGGCCCCAGGGTACACCAAGAGACAGTACCGGCCCCAGGGTACAGCAAGAGACAGTACCGGCCCCAGGGTACAGCAAGAGACAGTACCGGCCCCAGGGTACACCAAGAGACAGTACCGGCCCCAGGGTACAGCAAGAGACAGTACCAGCCCCAGGGGATAGCAAGAGACAGTACCGGCCCCAGGGTACATCAAAAGACAGTACCGGCCCCAGGGGATAGCAAGAGACAGTACCGGCCCCAGGACACATCAAGAGACAGTACCGGCCCCAGGGTACACCAAGAGACAGTACCGGCCCCAGGGTACACCAAGAGACAGTGCCGGGCCCAGGGTACAGCAGAGACAGTACCGGCCCCAGGGTACAGCAAGAGACAGTACGGCCCCAGGGTACAGCAAGAGACAGTACCGGCCCCAGGGTACAGCAAGAGACAGTACCGGCCCCAGGGTACAGCAAGAGACAGTACCGGCCCCAGGGTACATCAATAGACAGTACCAGCCACAAGGGACAGCAAGGGACAGGGACACAGGCAAGCGAGGGAGACAGTGGTGGGGTGACAGGCATGTCAGATTACCTGTGAGTGAACCTTTAACTAGGATAAATTATATAGGGGGAGGGGGGACCCAAATCCTGTTACCATTATTGTTTTAACACTCTAACTCTGAATGTATTTGCAATTTTTAATTGAAGTTGAAACATGAACAATAGAATTTCGTTAATCCAGTATAGAAAATAAACGAGAAATGCCGGGGATTGCCTGCTCAAATATTGTTTATTTCTGTCTCCCGCAATCATGTTGCATATGCAAGTAAGGGTATATTGGAGGCTTGCCCTTCCCCGCCACCACCAATACTGTAGCAAGGTACTACTACCCCCTCCGAGCCTCCTATTGTGAACGTGTAGCCCTTGGGCCAAGCCTCGGGGTTACGGTGTGGTCAGTGCACCTGTTGGTCACCATGCTTCAGACCCACTGTGGAGCCTCCGGACCCACTGTGAGCCTCCGGACCAACTGTGGAGCCTCCGGACCCACTATGGAGCCTCCGGACCCACTGTGGAGCCTCCGGACCCACTATGGAGCCTCCGGACCCGCTATGGAGCCTCCGGACCCACTGTGGAGCCTCCGGACCTACTGTGGAGCCTCCGGACCCACTGTGGAGGTTCCGGACCCACTGTGGAGCCTCCAGACCCACTGTGGAGCCTCCGGACCCACTATGGAGCTCAGGACCCACCATGGAGCCCCGGACCCACTATGGAGCCCCGGACCCACTATGGAGCCTCCGGACCCACTGTGGAGCCTCCGGACCCACTATGGAGCCTCCGGGCCCACTATGGAGCCCCGGACCCATTATGGAGCCCCGGACCCACTATGGAGCCTCCGGACCCACTGTGGAGCCTCCGGACCCACTATGGAGCCTCCGGACCCACTATGGATCCCCGGACCCACTATGGAGCCCCGGACCCACTATGGAGCCTCCGGACCCACTATGGAGCCTCCAGACCCACTGTGGAGCCTCCGGACCCACTATGGAGGCTCCAGACCCACTGTGGAGCCTCCGGACCCACTATGGAGCCTCCGGACCCACTATGGAGCTTCCGGACCCACTATGGAGCCCCGGACCCACTATGGAGCCCCGGACCCACTATGGAGCCCCGGACCCACTATGGAGTCCCGGACCCACTATGGAGCCCCGGACCCACTATGGAGCCCCGGACCCACTATGGAGCCCCGGACACACTATGGAGCCCCGAACACACTATGGAGCCCAGAACCCACTATGGAGCCCCGGACCCACTATTGAGCCTCCGGACCCACTATTGAGCCTCCGGACCCTCTATTGAGCCTCCGGACCCACTATGGAGCCCAGGACCCACTATGGAGCCCAGGACCCACTATGGAGCCCAGGACCCACTTGAGATCTGTTGCGTAGTGAGGGGGCTACCGAGCAGGCACTTACACGAGTCCTGTTTATTAGTCTCAGGCTAAACCAGAGGTGGGTGAGAGGCACGTGACCCCTAGCCAACCAACGCCCGGCTCAGTAGCCATAGAACCCATGACTTCTTGCGTGGTCCAGGATTCAGCCAGACACCTGTTATATTCCTAGCCAGCCAGGAACCTGTTGAGCAGAAACGCATATCCAAATAACCCAGTGTTTCCTGCTACTCGCGGAAGAGTACACAGCGTAGAGTGCAACAGATGGCCAGGACATCTGCTCTCCAGCGAGAAACAACCTAATGAAACTATTGGCGTGATGGACGGTAAGCCAGGCATGGGAGACGTGCCCTCGACACTGCTTCACACTCACGATACATCCATCCTGTAAGTGTACAACGACGGGATTTACACCCCACTCAACCACGAACAGATATCCTGATGCGACAACAGGTGATGAAATCGCCACTCAACAAATGGGCAAACTAGCGGCAGAGTTCATACTCTAAAATTGACAAATTGGATCCATCTCCTTCCCCCCCCCCTGTCCCGAATTACAGTGGCAGTTTGGGAGTTAATGACCGCCAGCTTGACTTTATACACCACAAATTACCGAATTACATAGTCATTAGACGCGCGACTCACTACCGAGAGATCTCTTTTTTATGACCCCGCCAAAATAATCCTGCACTTGGATGAATTACGACCCGTCATTATTGCCTCAACACCTGTGGTGAGGTGCGCCACTGACCACAAGCACAAGCGGCGCTGCTGCTCAACAGTGGCGAGATCTTGTATAATGTGCAACATGTGAGATGGACGATAATGTGCAACGTGTGAGATGGACGATAATGTGCAACGTGTGAGATGGACTGTAATGTGCAACATGTGAGATGCATCTGTAATGTGTTTTCCTGTTGCCAATATAGCATTTTCTACTAGGACATTACGTGGCGTTCTGTCAGTGTGTATGTTTTTCCTGAACAACCACTATTGTAAGCGTGGTTCACCTTAATGGTTCATGACGCAACCCGTCCTCGACTCAAGTCCATTACATCCAACGGTCGACCTCACAGACGCATTCATAATTTTTTATATGCTGTTCATTCAAAACGGGAATTTTCTCAAATATAAATTAATGTTATAATATATAAGGATATTGTGTATATATAGGCATAGGTTAGGTTAGGTGTTGGTTCTGTTGGCGATTATTTGTTTTTGTACTACGCGGGTGAAGCATTTATTGCGTTGTGGTTCGAACAAAATTCGTCAGTGAAGCACTTGTTCCGGAAGTGTTCGAATGTCAACAGTTGTGAGTCGTGTGTAAAGCTTTTTTCATTCATAAACAGAGGGTTTCGCGGGTACATGGAATCACTTTTGGGTCTTTGTTTGGAGGACGGGCTGCCTGACGGAGCTCAGTCTACCCTTCTTATGAACCACAGAAGCTTACACGAGTCCACAGAGAATGTCGGTCAAGTTCAATTGTGAGCATAGTCTACTGGCTTTCGTTAACACAGCGAAAGCCGTAAGTCATGTTTAGATGGTTTAGTAGTTTGAACCTCGTATCCTTAGGCTGTATTCACAGGAGAATGTTGTCGTGACGGATGTCCTGTGACAGTAGAGTCCACCTTCAGCACACACTTTTGTTGTTAATACAATACAATTTTACAATACAATACAATTTTATTTAGGTAAGGTACATACATACAATAAATATTTACAAGGATTGTTTAACTTATAGGTATAGCTAGTACATACAATGCCTAAAGCCACTATTACGCAAAGCGTTTCGGGCATTTAATGTAATGTTAATGATAAAGCTAAGTAAATGTTGACTTGATGTGAGAGAGAGAGAGAGAGAGAGAGAGAGAGAGAGAGAGAGAGAGAGAGAGAGAGAGAGAGAGAGAGAGAGAGAGAGAGAGAGAGATGACATCATTGCAGATGTCAGCCGGGAAGGTAGGTGTTATGACCACTCTCAGGTGACCTCATCAAAGGTAATGTTGTTATGGGTAATGACACCAATCTGTTAATCGGAATCCCTGTAGGAGGGAAGCGGCTGCTAATTCGTCCTCTTAATGTGTTTAGGGAGGTTGATTTTGCCAATCCACTCCGCGCCTGCCTTACCCCACCTCCCCCCCCTTCCCCTTTCCCTTCTCTCCATTCCTCCTCCATCTCCACCTCCCTCACTTCACTGCCACCCCCACCCCTCCTTCCTTCCCTCCGTCCCCCAGACCTCTCCCAGTCCCTCCCTCCCTCAAGCATCTCTGCCTGCTGATACGGGCGAATTTTCCAGCCGTTGGAGGCAGTGATTAGACCTGCCGGGGGTAGGCTTGCCGTGGAAGGGGATGTGGCCAGCCGGTATTTTCTCA